TCACTTTGGCTGCCCCAGCTGCAGCAGCGGCCCTGTCCCGCTGGCACTGCACTTAGATCTTCCTCCCCCAGGGTTATCAATCAGCTGAAATGAGAAGTGCCGCAGCATCAATAAAGCATCTGCAAACATGGCTGGAAAAGCACCTCTCACCCAGGGGCAAGCAGCATTTCCAGGGTGGCTGTGCTGCCGAGCGGGTGTCCTGGTGTGCCCCGCAGGTCTCTGGCAGCCCAGCAATGCAGCGAGCTGCGTGACGAAGGCCGGGGCTGGTTCTCAGCACAGAAGGTGATTAAGCACTGATACACTCCCAGAAGAGGTGGTGGTTTCCCCAGGAGCTGCTTGTGCTTTCTGTTCAGGGATGCGGAGTAGCCCTGGGGAGCAACACCTGCATGGGGCTGGTGGGATTGGGACACCCTTCTGTCCCTCAGCAGTGGGAGATTTGGAGCCCCTGCAAATTTTTTGGAGGGAGCACCAAGAGCTCAGCCCCCAGCAGGATCACAAATGCCTCTGCCAGCCCCCAGATTTGTCACGTTCCCCTGTGTTTCTTGGCAGCAGGAGCAGGATCTGTCCCATATGTTTTGCAGGCACCAAGGCCTCCCACTCCCCACCACAGGGCTCAGCCCTTCTCCCCTCGATAATCCCACCACACCAGGGGCAGCAGGAGGGATGTGGGGATGAAGCAGGATTTTCTGAGATCTCTGATCTGTATCCTCCATACTTCCTGGCAGGATTTCCCCAGCCGTGGGATTTCCTGGTGAGGGAGGATGATAAAAGTCAGGGCCGGCAGAGCCCCAGGACCTCATGCCACAGCCCTGGGAGAGGGGGCAGGCAGACATGGAGGCTGGTGGCCCATCACCAGCGGCTCTGCTCCTCACCACACCCTGCAGCCAAGCCTGAAGCCAGAGCTGTGAAAGCTGGCAAGGAGCCCCCCATGAAATGGGGAAAGAAAGGGAGGAAAAGGGTGTTTTTCAGCCCAGATCACATGCGGGAACAGGGGACCCATGGGGCCACCCCAGAGCAGAGACTGGATCTGCTCAACAACAACAGTGGGTCTGCCCATGTCCTGTGCCCTTCTTTGCATCAAACACGGGAGGGCTAATGAGTTGGAGAGGGATGAAGACCAGTTTCACCTGGATTTGTGAAGAGACACAGGAGCACAAGGTTTTTCCTCTGGCTCCTCTGAGCCCCCATGGACATTCTCAGCTCCAGTGCCAGGTCTGTGCAAAACCAGTAAAGCCCCATCCTGGACAATGTGGGGAGAGGGAAGGGGGATATTCCTCCTGGGATACAGGTGAGTCCTGGGGACCCCAGTCTGCTCAGGGGCTGCCAAATCAAGGGGCTTAACCAGGGCCGAAAATCCCCTGTGCTCCAAAATCCCCCATCTGCAGGGTCCACTCATGCCACGGGGCATACATCAGCGCCGGGGCTTGGGACAGAGGGATGCTGCAGGTGCTGGGAATGTCATCCATGGAATTCCCCGACCTGATGTATCCCAGAGTTTTGCATAAGAGTCTTTAAAAGGGGCCTTTTCCAGTCCAATAAACACTTTTGTTTTCTTTGTGTTTCTCTCTCATTTTCTTATTGCAGGGAATATTTTCTACCCTTAGGAGACCACATTTACCCCAGCTGAGCCAGGAAAAACTCGGTGTGTGGGGGTAAGAAGGGGGATAAGAAGGAAAGGATGGATCCAGGAAGGGAAAGGCGAGCCAGGCAGCTGCACTGGACCAGGACCAGAGGCATCCACTTTCCTCCACTTCTCAGGGTCTCCCCAGGGAGAGATTAAATGGGAGTTGGAGTGATGGGGAGGCTCTCTGATCCACCAGCTGGGCATGGAAACATGACCCCCCACTCTTTGTCCGCACTCACAAGTCCTGGGACATCGCCCAGCCCCGCTTGCGGCACCCTGCTGTTACCCAGCACATGCACATCTAACAGTTGAGGCTGATTTCTGGGAAATGGCTTTGCAGAAGAGCAAATGGAGGGACACATGCGGTCCCACCATGGAGGTGGCCCCCATTCCCATTGCGGCAGGTCCCTGCCTGGACTAGCACCCCATGCCCTCCCCAGCCGAGTTTCCATAATGGGGCTGTACTGCAGCCCCAGGTGGCCAAAACACCAGTGGGGTGCCATCAGCGTTCCCAGCCCTGCCGTGGGCACAGCTGGACTGGTGGGGATACGTGACTGCATCTCTCCGCTGCTTCCCACCATCCGCCAGCTGCCAGCAGCTGGGATGCACTGGAGCCTGGGAGGAGAGGGGGCTCTTTGGACAGCTGTGGCCAGGCAAAATCCACTCGGGAAGCCCCAGACTGGCCTCAGCCTTTTCCCAGCTCAGCACAGCCAAGAACATGAGCTGCTGCTTTGGCTCCGGGGGAGGGAAGCGGAGCCACCTGCCCAGCCTCTCCCAGCCCCAATGGGCCCCAAACATCCCCAAACCAACACAGAGTCTTGTACGTGCCTGGTACAAAAAAACAGAAGCTGTTTCTCTATGTTTTCTTGGTGGGGGCTGGAATGTAAAGCAATAGGATGCAAAACTTCGCAGTGCAGGAGGATGACATGGACTGTCGGGAGTCTGTGTGGCTCCTGGGGACCCTGCAGGGTGTTGAGCCTGGTCCTACTCCCATCCAAGGGAGATCCCCAGATGGTCCTGCCTGCCCTGGGACTCCTGCCACAGGGCATGCAGTCTGCCCAGGGAACAGAGATGCAGAGACAAACTTTGGAAGCAACCCAGCCGCCAGTCCTAACGCAGGAGGCAGGAGCTCAGGAAATTTCCCAAGCCCATTGGGGGCTGAATGCACGACCCAGGAGCAGGCTTTTCTTTTCATGGGGCTGTGCTGGAAGGGGATAAGTATTGCTCAACCTCTGTGCTTTGGGACATGGCAGGGGATCAGGTCCACCCCCCTGCCCACGTAATCACTGGCCCTGGGGGAAGCCAGCCCCGCTGCTCCCCCCATAAAAGCAGCCCAGCAGCCCCGACCCCGACAGACAGCAGCTCTGCCCTGACACCACGGAGCAGCCCTCCCGCAGTCCGGCATGGCAAAGGCAGCTGGGGTGGTCTGCGCCCTCCTTCTCCTCGCTGCGCTGTGCTGCCAGAGCCTGGCACAGAGTAAGCACTGCTGCCCACTCTGTCCCCACGGACTGGGGGTCAGGGACATCCCCTGGGGGGGACATCCCCCCTGGGGATGGGTTTTCCTCATGCATGGAGTGCAGGGGAGCTCCCCCCAAAAGGGATGCCATGCCCACAGCAGGAGGGCTAAGATGGGAGGTGGGAGTCTCCAGGCTAAACTGAGCTTTCCCTGTCCCCCCAGGAGCCCTGGCCATGCCAGACAAGTGCTGCTTCAACTTCCAGTCGAGAAGGATCAAGAGAGACAACGTCGTCGCCTGCTACTCCACCAGCCCCGAGTGCCCGCACCAGGCTGTGATGTGAGTACCCTAAACCCAACCCTGGGGTAAAGCCCCTCTACACCCTGCCAGACCCCTGTGTCTTGCTTTGATGGGTCCAATCCTGATCCTCTGTGTCTCCAAGCCCCTTGGAATCTCCCATACCACCACACTGCTAACCCTGTCTTTTCTCTGCCCCAGCTTCAGGGTGAGGAGCGGGAGGGAGATCTGTGCCCAGGCAACCAGGGCCTGGGTGAAGAGGTACCAGCAGAGCTTCCAAGTCAACTCCTTCTCCATCCCCAGCTAGAGGGGTGGACGGAGGCAGCACGGGGAGTCACCTCCACGGGTGGGGGGACATACCGCAAAGGTCATCCCTTTGCAGAGGCGGCAGCAGGGACACCACATTTGGATATAGCAGCTTGTCGGGGATATCCTCCCCATCATCCTGTGATGACCCTCACCACTTCCCCAAAGGCAAAGGGCCTTTGTCATCCTTGGCATCCCACCAGGATGGGGTGTGCCAACCCCACAGGGTGCTGGGGTCCAGACCTGCTGCTGCCCCCCATCCTCTCAGCCCTGCTTTGCATGCAGGCAGCTGCCTGTACCCTTCACTGGCTGCGCTTGCCAGCCTGGCAGTAGCAGAGGGATTAAGGGGTAGCACTCCTACGGTTATTTTTTGTACAACACACTGAATAGAATTAAACGTGATTTCATGCATGCAAGCATCTGGCTGTGCAAGTGTCTTGGGAGCGGGCAGATCATGTTGTCGTCTTTTCTACCCAGGTGTTAAACCAAATCTGAAAGTGCTGGGGTCAGTAAGGAGCTGGGAAGAGCCGAAGCCCCAACCATGTCTCTGTGAGGGGGTCCAAGGGGTGCATGGGGCAAACCGTATCCGTGTGGGCTTTGGGGAAGCCACCAATGAGAGGGGCAAGAGGCAGGCACAGCTCATGAGGAGCGGGCTTCCCATGCTCTACTTGTCGGCCATCCTAATGAGTGGAGACCCCTGGCCCAAACTTGATCAGAGCTGCCACTTGGGTCTGCCTGGTCAAACCTCACAGCCAGCCCAGTGCTCCTGGGGTGCCTCAAAGAGATGTGATGGGCACTGGCACTGTGACAGGCACGGTGACAGGCTCAGCCACTGATGGGTCTCAGGGTGGGCTGAGGCAAGCCCGGCCACCACCGAGCCACTCATCCTGGTGAAAAATTGCGAGAGGCATCACAGTCAAACTGATGACAAGTGGGGTTTTTTTTAAAATAAACTCACCCAGGGCTTTGGCAAGCATCATCCTGTGTGGTTTGCTGGTGACAGCAACTAAACCTAAAATAGACTGCCTGCCCCGGTGCATCACTAGCAGCGCAGAGCTGCTGGCTGCTCACCACACTTTCCAGCAGCCCTCGACCACTGCCGGAGCCAGAGTGGCTCAGAGAAGGAATTTCCATTCACTGGTTGCCCTTTATCAATATCTGTGGGCAGTTTCTTCCTGGGGAGAGTCCAGGGCAGTCATGGAACGCCTGGCTGGAGGATATATCATGCTGAGGTGCAGCCAAGAGATGCAGGTAGCTCTTGGTGGCCTTCAGTCAAGAAGACCTGCCAGCTGCTGGCACCGACGGAGCCCCGCTTGGACATGAAGGTGTTCTCCCTGACACTGCTCACCCTGCTGCTGGCGGCTCTCTGGACTAGAAGCCAGGGAATGTCCTGTAAGTCCCAAAGCTGAGGCTAAGAGCTACCCCAGCACTGTCCTCAGCTCCTGTACTGACAGGGTTTTGGGGGGCGTTGAGGAAGGGGATGAAAGCATCAATTCCTGCTTCTGCTGTGGGTTTGAGGGGTTGAGGAGCACCACCAGCCGCCTGAGCACGGGGCTGTCCTGGTCTTGCTCAAAATGAGCAGAAATAGGCTTGGGGATGGCTTCAGCTCCATCACTCTAGCTGGAGAGCTCAGTGATAACTCCACATGGGCAGGAAAACGGGGGGCTCCTCCCCTGCGGCAAAGCAGCACGACCGGGGACATGAGAGGGGACCCCTGGTAGCAGAAGGGAGCAGGAAAGTCCCCAAGGGACCCACCACTCCCCTCAGGGCAGCGCCCATACTCCTCACGCCAGGCGTGGGAGAGCACCAACCCCTCTTGCCTCCTCTCAGTCCGCAGCCACTACGGCACATGCTGCTACAAGGAGATGTTTATCCAGAAGAAAATCCCAGCCTTCCTCATCAAGAGCTTCCAGGAGACGCCTTCCCACTGCTCCCACAAGGCTGTGCGGTGAGTACGCCCGGCCCCCGCCCAGCCTTCCTCCCCTGCACCCCTGCTCCTCACCCTTGCTCGCCCACCTTCCCTACGGGTTGTTCTGCCTCGGGGGATTTCCCCCAAACAAGCCACCCCCAAAGGGTGCCGTGCGTGGTGGGTGCCCTGCGCTGGCTCTTCACGTGCACCTCCCTCCTCACTGCTTTACTCCAAATAGCTTCAAAAAATCCCCTGTTTCAGCTGAGAGACAGAAAGGTGGGAAGGAAGCAAAGGTGTCAGAGATTGCTAAAAGTCAGCACTTTGGGGGGATGTGGGGGGAAGGATGCTGCAGGCATCCCCTGAACCTCGGGGCACGGCCGCATCCCACATCCCCCCAGCTAACATAGCCCCTCTTTCCGCCAGCGTGGAGATGCTGAAGGGGAAGAAGTTCTGCGTGGACCCGCAGAAGGAATGGTTCCAGCAGTACCGGCAGCAGCAGGAGTCAACCAGCACCTCCACATGAAGCCGCCTTCACCATAAGCTCTGCTTATTTGCGTCCCATAATTACATGTACAGTCTCATCTTGTTATGTGATGGAGCTGGCTCCATCCCCTCCCCTGTTGTCACCCTCTCCACACTACCGCAGAACCCTCGATGGGTTTAATAAAATATCCTGTTCTGACCTGCAGCTGGAGTGAGAGGAAGTAAATCCCTGTGGGAGAAAAGCAGGGTCACGTCAGGGCTTGGTGTCCCCACAGGGGCCCAGGAATAACCAGGAGCTCCTGAGACGGCAGGGAAACCCGAAGGGCCGAGGCTGATGCCCCCAGCTCAGCTCCCCCCCATGAAGAAGCAGCCCCGTCCTGGTTGTGGGGTTTAAGGATGCCCTGAGCAGCTGCCCGCCCACTGGGATACGGATTGAGGCAGGCAGAAAGGCAGGCGCAGGCTGGCAACAGGAGAAAGGGTTGGGCTTTGGAGGGTTTGGGGAGGGTATGGGGGGGGTGCTATGGTTTTTTTCCCCAGATGGATCAAGGGGCTAAAGAGGGGCGGCTGCAGGAGGAGAGATGCTTGGAGGTTTAGCGCTGTCCAGGCCCGGCCAGACCCTGCAGATGAGCACCCATGGGGGTGAGCCTGCTCGCACTGGGGAGCTCCAGGTCCCCAGGAATCACCCTGTCTCACGGGGAAAACCCTCCCGCAGTCCCTAAAGCCCACCCACCCACCGCAGCAGCATTGGGGATGGCAATCGCCTTAGGAAATTGGACCATACCAGGCCTGTCACTTGAGTCAATCCCTTTCCTTAAAGACAAGAAGAAATTGAAAACACAAATGCTTTGGGGCATGTTTCCAGTGAGCACGGGGAGGCCGGAGCAGCAGCATCCACGGCAACATCTGTGACCCGGCTGCGCACGTGCTGGATGGACCGTGTTTGTGACCGGGCACGCACGCAGTGCCATGTCACAAACACCCTGGCCTGTATAAATGCCCCCACGCCACTGCCCCCGGCTCCGTGGTGTGTTTGCCACGGGCACTGGAGGACAAGGACGGTCTCCGACCAGAGCGAGGTCCCCAGGCCCAGCCAGCTGCTTCGTGGCAGCCACTTGCGGCCATGGAGCTGAGGTCGCGGCGCCGCAGGGTGTCAGAGTGCCCAACAGAGCGGTGTCCCCCCAGCGCTGCCAGAGGAGCAGGCAAGACCCTCCTGCGCTCCTCCCAAGCAGCAAAAGGAGATGTCCCGTCTCCAAGGAGAGAGGTGAGTGCAGAGCTTCCCCCCGGGCACCGGCCAGAGGGGATTTTGGCCGGTGCCCGGCTGTGCTGCCACAGGCCCCCGCAGCGTCCCAGGGTGCTCCGGCCTCTCCCCCATCCCCGCTCCCAGCATTACCCCCACCGGCTCCGCGGCGTGCTGCTGGGGGTGACGGTGCCTCTGTCCCCCGGCAGTGTGCGGGCTGTGCCGGCAGGACAATTGTGATGCCGACATAGGTTGGCCAGCTGTGCCAAAAGGGTGGGCTCTGCGTCCACGAGAACTGCCTGGTGAGTCCCCGACACCCTCCGGTCCCCAGCCCCGCACCGCCGGCAGCCCCTGGCACTCACCCTCTTTTCAAAACCCCCTTGCAGTACCACGCCAGCGGGCTGATGCAGAGAGGGGCCAACGAAGAGGGTTTCTACGGCTTCCTCTTCCCCGATATCCGCCAGGAGCTGAAGCGGGTGGCACAGAAAGTGAGGCCTTGTCCCCATGTGTCCCCACCGTGTCCCCACGCCCCGTGCCTGGCACTGCACACGCCAGCAGCCACCCACCCAGCCCCCAGCGCTGCTCTGGCAGCCGGCTGCAAGCAACCCCCAAGTCAGATCCCCCATGACGCAAAAAGGCCCGTTCCTGCGGCAGGGGGGGATCTGGAGGGTACGGGGGGCATCCTTATCTATCGGGGCCCGGTGTCACCAGCCGGGCGGCCCCACAGAACGCGGCGGGGCTCCCTGGGGCCTGTGGCGCTGACACCGTTGTCCTTCCTGCCGTCCCCAGAGGTGCCACATCTGCCAGCTGCCGGGCGCCTCGGTCACCTGCCGGGCCCGGCGCTGCCGGGGCCGGCGCTGCCGCCGCATCTTCCACTTCCCCTGCGGCAGCAAGCGGGGCTGCGTCTCCCAGTTCTTCGGGGAGTTCAGGTGAGTATGGCTGCCCCGCGGGGTCGGGGCCGGGGCTGGTGCCGGGGCCGGGGCCGGGGTTGGGGCCGGGGCGGGGTCGGTGCCGGGGTCGGTGCCGGGGCCCGGGCCCGGGGCCAAGCTGTCCCCTCCGTCCTGCAGGTCTTTTTGCTGGAAGCACCGGCCGGTGCAGCGGGTGCGGGCGGTGCAGCAGGACCAGACCCTCTGCCTCATCTGCCAGGAGGGGGTGGCGGAGCGGCCCTGCTACGACACCCTGGTGTGTCCCGCCTGCGCCAGCGCCTGGTTCCACCGCGGCTGCATCCAGGTAGGTGGCATCGCCCCCGGCCCCTGGAGCGGTCCCCCCTGCTGTCACCCTGTTGTCGCATCGCCCAGCTCCAGGGCGGTGAACCGGACCCCCGGCGCTGATGCTGATGCCATCTCTGCCCCAGGGACAGGCACTGCGCTCCGGCTTTCACTACTTTTGCTGCCCGCTGTGCCGCAACAGGGAGCAATTCCTGGAAGAGATGTTTCGCCTGGGCATCCGGATCCCTGACAGGTCAGTGCCCTCCCTCCCGCTGCCGCCTCCCCCTCCGCGATGCTCCAGCTGAGCCCTCCTGCCTGCGCGGGTGCCGCCAGGGTGTCCCCCACGGCCCCAGGGTGAGCGCTCCCCCGCTCCCGCAGGGATGCTGCCTGGGAGGAGGAGGATGGGGCATTTGCAGGCCATTACTTGCGGCACAGCTCCTGCGATGCCAACCAGTGCCTGTGCCCAGAGGGACGCGAGCATGTGGAGGTGAATGGGTGAGTGCCGGTGGCTGCGGTCCCCGCAGCCCCAGCGAGGAGATGGCGATGCCTTCGTCTCCTCCTCTGGGCAGGGATGGAGCCTCCCTGGGATATGGGCACGGCACGGCAGGGTGAGTGCCAGCAGCTCAGCCCCGGCTGCCGGCGGGAGCAGGGTGGACGTGGGCTCAGCACAGCGCCGGGGCTGGCACCCCACACACAGCTCGGGGGCCTTTGGTGACAGTGGGTCCTGTTGCTCCCCCAGGCCCTGGAGACTTCTACTCTGCACATCCTGTGCCTCACAAGGGACCCACCAGCTCTGCTCTGCCCTGGGGGAAGATGATGCCGTCTCCTGGGACTGCAGCGACTGCAGAGGCATGGACGCTGGAGAGGGGTGCAGCGGGGCGACAGAGTCCCCAGTGTCACCTGCCACCACAGCCACGCAGGACGTGGGGACATGGACAGGGCTGTGATCCGGGGAGAGAAGGAGGGAGGAAGAGTGAGGTGGGCTTGCACAAGGTGCTCATCATCTCCCTCCCTTGACACCGGACCAGACTCCAGCCCCTCCAGTGCAGGGAACCTTGCGCAGCACCCAGCATCCCGACACTTCACCTGAGGCTGACTAGTCCAGGGCCCTCAAAAAAGACTTCCCAACACTCAACAGATGCCATCGGTGCATACGTACGGTCAGTCAGCCCTGCCCACAGCCACCAGGGTCCCTGTCCTGCGGGCTCTCATCGCATCCATCTACACCACCAGCAGCAGCTGCACCCAGCCAGGGGTGATGTAAGTACCCACTGCTGCTGGGGGCGCGGGCTGCAACGGCAAGGGCTATGTCCCAAGGGTGGCTGGGAGGGGGACGGGGACACAGATACCCAAGGGTGCTGCAGGCAGGACCCAGCATAGGCACCCTGCTGCCCTGGCCGAGCGCACGAACATGGGTTTTCTCCTGGCAGCCTGGTCACCAAGAAGAAGAAGGAGCTGTGCGCAGACCCCCAGGCGCCCTGGGTGAAGGCACATCTCAAGCACTTCCAGCCTCAGAATAACTGACCGTTCCCCGTGGCCAACCACGATGGCCCCGCTGCTTCCCCTGGCGAGCCTGGCGCCCAGCCCCGGGCACACAAGACAGGACTTCAGCTGCAACCTTCTTCAGCAGGAAAATGTATTCTATTTAACTTATTTAAGTTAAATTAAATATTTTTTACTAAGAAAAAGGAAAGTACAAAAATAATTTAAACTATATCAAAATAATTTAAACTAAACTAATTTAAACTATATAAATGTGTCTGTAAATGGAGTGTCAGAAGTCTTGATGCCTAAATAAACTGTTTGTGCTATCAACTCCTTTGGGTGTCTCTGCAGTCCCGGCTGGAGCCCTGACGCAGGAGAAGGGTCCCCCGGGGACCCAGTTGCCCTCCCCATGCCCTGGGTTCCCCGCTCCTCCCCCCCTGGCCAGGGCGGCCTGGGCCCCACAGCAGCTCCCACGGTGCTTCCCCCTCCCCAGCCCGTGTTAACCTCCACTGCCAGCCGCCCAGCACGGCCCCACGCTGTCGGGGGACACAAAATGGAAGTGCGTGCTAGGCCTTGGAGCAGGCCTCAGCCTGAACACAAGTACTCGGAGGCCTCGGCCAAGTCGACCCTGCGAAAGTAGAGTCAATGTTTCTTCCTGGTAGTTAGAAGAGTGCTGTGCCTTGGTTTTAACATGGGCTTCGTTACGAGAAAAATGCTCACAAGCTTCGGCTGCTGCTGGGAGAGAAGGAAGCAAGAAGACTGCCAGTCGTACTGCCAGATTAGCGCGGAACACCTGCTGGTGTTCAGCTGGTAGGAAAGTGCTGTAACTTGGTGGGAAAGTACCGTAACGCACGAAAGGTATACAAGCAGCCAGCGTGCTGAAGTCGAGCGTCTCAGCATCACCCGTGATTTGAGTCCGTGCCTCAGTACGCCACAGCACGCCGTGACACCAGCGTCTCCCCTGGGGCTGCCAGAGCCGGCTCCTCTTGGGGTAACGGGCCGGCGGCACCCGCAGTGCCAACACGAGGGTCGGGGCCACCGCGGAGGCTCAGCCCTGCGGTGCTCAGGCACATCAGCAAACCCACACGCCCAGTTCCAACTTTGCTTAGTGAGGAGATGCAGGTTTGTGGGACAGGGGCTGGGGCGGCAGGTGGGTGTCGGGGTGTCAATACCATAGGACATCACGCTCAGTATATAAACTGGATGAGCTGGCCGGGGGAGGAAGGATCTGGGTGGTGGGCAATTGTATTGTGCCTCACTCACCGTACCTATTCTTTTCTTAGCATTCCTAATATTGTTTCTTCTCTCCTTGTGTTGTCCCATTCATCTGTTCCTGTCTCAACCCATGGGGTTTTACCTTTTTCTTCCCATTCTCCTTCCCATCCCACCGGGAGCAGAGCAGGGGGAGCAGTGACAGCTTGTTACCTTCTGGGCCATAAACATCTATGCCCTCACTGGGCAGTTCACAGAAGGAAAAAGCAGTCCCCTTGAGCTGAAATTGGAAGAGACGGGCCAAAGAGACATCTTGCTGGCTGAGCCATGGGAGGGGGGGGATGCTGGGTCTGACAGGCTCGAGGGGGACAGAAGTGAGACACCTGGTGGGACCCTTAAATAATCCTGCCTCCAGCATGATTCAGTCCGATGTCCTGTGGTTGAAAGGAGCGAGGGGAAAGGGATACAAACTGACCCCAGATATCGTCTTGTGCCAGTAAATTCAAAAGGGAAATTCCAAAGAAAGACGAAGTCAATAAAAAAAGCCTGAAAATTCGAAATAACATTATAAAAATCTTTTGACTCAGCAGAGAGCCAGCGCAGGAAGCTCTGAGGGACTCGCAGGAGGTGTTCAGAGCCAGTCGTGCTGAGGAAAATGAAAAGAGAGAAATAGAAACCCCTGATGATCCCAACAGAGATTTGATGTGCTTAGGTTCTGCAGTGACGGTGACCGTGTTCCTGGAGATGTGGCGGCAAGGGCAGCGATCTGGGATGGGTAAAACCAGGGAATGTGAAGTGTAAAAGGTTGCAACTGCAAAACAAATTTCACTCCTGGGGAGCAGAAGCAGCAAGCAGTCAGCTTAGGAGGTGGGGGTGTCTGCAGAGTGAGAGCCTCTGCCTCAGCCCTGCTCCTTCAGGGCAGAGAAAGAGGAGCTGTTAGAGGTGGCAGCGTCCAAAAAGGCTGCTCTGGAGGAAATTGGTAAGAAGTGGTAGTATCCAGTGATTCTTGACTGAATGGGTGAGCTGAGCAGGCCAGAGGGGTTTCAGAGTGGAGCAGCTAATCTCATACCAGAACCCCACAACCGCTGAACCCACCTCCAGTCCTGGAGGGGACAAGTGAATCTGGCATTTGTGCTGGGAATAGGAGAGCAGGCAGTTGCCACCTGCCCGGGCTGATGGCGTTTGTACAGCCTTGTAGAACGTTTGATTCCAAAACAACATCGTGGTTAGTGACACCTTTTAAAATAGGACTCTCAAATTCCTCTGTGAATAGGCCTGGGTGTTTCACTGAGAAAGAAGATCACACCTCTAATCTGTCTGGCTTCTCGAGCATGCTGGTTGTGTGGTAGGACTGATATCCCTCTGAGTGATGGTTGTTTCTTATCTGCCCTGGAGCTGGGTCAGAAACATACATGAGAAACTCACTACTTTCATGTGCCAGTCTAACCACCCATCTATTTGTATTCCCAGACATTTCCTGGCCATATAACCTTACACCAGCAGTGTCCACTCTATCTCTTTTCTACCCTGTTGTTGACTCTGATACATTCACACAGATCAATTCCTCATTTTCCTACCCTTCAACCCAAGTTCTTTTCATTTAACTCTTCTCATGTTGTATACCACGAGGGTCTTGTCACAGTTTTGTGGTTTGTAGCATGGGTCTTTCCCTGCCCCAGATATTTTCAGCTGACAGCCTCACAAGCTGGAACGTCTGCTATTGTTATACTTGTCCTCAACAGCCTGATTGTACAGTCTATACTGTTCTATCAAATCCCTTCTCCATTGCTGCAGTCCTCAAGGTCATTATAAGCTTTTTGTGTGATATCCTGGCCTCTTCTAGATTGATGATAGCATGTCATTTTGCCTCATCAGCAAATTTCCCTTTGCATTCTCCTGGTTTTTTGCCAAGATCATTAATGTAAATGTTAAGTAGAATAATTTCTGAGGCAGAAACACAAGGAACTGTACTGGTAAACCGTCTTCAGTCTAACACATCCCCTTTTTGCTGAAGCAATTACCATGCCACTTTCAGGCAGTTCTTTACCCACTTTACATTTCATATGCCAGTCACATCTTCTTTGTCTTAGCTAATAATTTACTGTGTGGCACCATTTCAAATGTCTTACTGAAGCCCAGGCAAGTGAGATCTACTGCATTTCCTTCATTGCGAATATCTGTGAATTTATGAAAGGAAGCTGTTAGTTTAGTGTTGGTGTGCATCAGGGCCAATATTGCGTGATGTACTGTATGTTGTCCCTTGTGCAATGCCTGAGGATTTGGAGAAGGGATTTCAGTCAGAGGATTATGTCTGCAAAATACAAGATGATTTACATTAATCAGGGATGGATAAGACTGGGATTATACAAGTAGTTGATGGAACAACATGCTAGCAGATGACATTCACTCAGGAGTCATTTGAAACACTAATTTCTGTTTCTAAGGTCAAATGAACAACTACTTTGGAAAGAAAAAGGCCTGTGGTAATGTTTTTGAGTTTATGGCCAGATTTTAAAGATATTTGGGTCCTGAGTATTTGGCCCATGTGACTTGGAAGTCTCTGTTCCATTCCTCTTCAATGACATTCAGGTTCACTAAATGCCATTTTCTTTAGAAAATGAGACTTAACATCTCCTTATTTTCTAGAGTTGGTCCTTGGTCCTGCAAATCCAAAGATTAAGCAGAATATTGGAGTGCGTGAAGGATGGGACAGAAACTAATTACCCAAATGCCACAATGTTGCTGTAGAAACCAGCAGGATGATCTCCGAATGCCACATTCAGCCCTGATCATTTTGACTCAGAGATGGATAGAGACGACACGGAGGACTTTGAGCCAGGTGATGAAAGCATTTAGCAACTTGGAGATGGAAGATGGAAAAGAGCAGGGCAAGTATGAAGGGAGCTTAAAAATAAACATTCAATATTAATTATCTACCCTTTCAGACAGAGACAGGAACATTTACATGGTTAAAATCATTTAAGGAGAAAAACAGTGCACTAGAGAGAAATATTTTGACACAAGGCATAATTAACGTGCGAAACTCTCTGCCAAAAGGTCTTATCAAGGGCAAAAAGTGGAGAAGAAAGACAGAAGCAATTTCTATAAAACAACCCCAGCTATGTAAATTTAGGTAATTTTTATTTTTAGTCTGTTTTCAGCGAAGTGGGGCTTATGCAAGCTGCTGTCTGGTTGCAGGAGGTAGTGATAGTTTGTGTCTGCAAACTCAAAACTGAAATCACTTCTTGCTGTCAGACAACTTCTTTTGAAAGCCCCAGCAATGTATTCACGTGGGCAGGCGCAGATCTCTGCAGAGGCAGTAGCTGAGAGCCACTGGCTATGCCAAATTGCATGGAAGAGAAGTAGGTCAGTACATCTGGGAGACCAGAGTCCACGGTGCCCTCGACAAACCAAACCCAGTCCCGGTGAGAGTTAGCCCCAGGGTTTTCCTCCACTTGAGCCCAGGGCTGAGGAGGGGGCTGTAGGTGCAAATAACGAGCACAGGAGACAAACAGCAGGATGGGGGCCTGGGCTGGGGGTTAGTGCTGTGGGTTCTGTTTGTGGGAGCTAGGGCAGAGTGACTCTGGGTTCACTGTGTGGCAAGAAGGTGCTGGGGGCTGGCAAGTGAGCTTCGAACCTGGGTGTTTCACTGGGCCTTGTGCTCTGACTCCAGCCACGTACAGAGAGATGTATTTACATTTAGGTGAAGCAGGATACTTCTTTGTTATGTAAATCTCTGCTCACACAGCATTTTTCTTCCCTGGTTTTGTTTAAAGAAATGTATCTGCTTGCCTTAAGGAGCAAAGGGTGCCTGAGGCTGGGGACT